GTAATTTGTGTGTACGGCTGAATGTAATAACTAATGACTTCACTGAATGAGGGTCATTGTTTGCTGCGTGTTTTGGATAATTCTTTATTTGAAATGGAAGCAAACAAACCCAGGCTTCCAGTTCTCATGTTCGCTGGCGTTGTCGTCCACTTGCTTGAAGTTTACACAAAGGATTCAATTTTGCTAATGACTGCAACGTTTGTGCAAAGCTTTCATTTTCAGTTAACGGTGTGTGTTTTTGTCTGGGAAAAATAGACAATTCGTTCAAAGGATTATGTGACAAAAGGGTCCCAACGCACATAGAGGAAAAGTGATCAAACAGCAACGGTGGTTAAAACGCAGTGATCAAACACTCACAAGAAAAGAGGGAGATTTTATAAAAAATGTGTGGGTGAGAATACTTTTCCTTCTGGGCTCAGAAAAGCATCTCCCTCAAAAGTGACAATGCAACTAACAACGAAGATGAGCAAGCAAAGGCCAGTTTTGACTGGAAGACTAAAACTAAGTGACAACAAAGCAGAACATGGCAGAAGATGTTTTTTTAACACCAGCAAAAAAAAATAAAAAAATACACAATGACAAGGAATTATGCACTGTTAAAAGAAAGTTTGTGAAAGAAAAGAAAAGACTGAAACGCAAAACATCTGACATCTGTCTCCTGTTTGTTGCAGGGAATTGCTTTTAAAACACAATCTTTTGCGAGTTCTGCCTTATGAACTTGGGAGGCTTTTCCAGTTACAAACCTTGGGGCTAAAAGGTGAGTCTCTTCTGTGATCGCTCTCACTATTTTGGACATAGAGATTATATTCTGACAGTTTTTAAATCACCACTATCCACCATATACCAGAACACCACAGGGAGTATGTGAGCCAAAACTGTAGTCTGTGAGAAATCTTTGATTTTAACCCAAATTTTAAATTTTAAAGGTCTCGTACTGTAGTAAAGTGGGATCTCCATTGTTGATTGATTATAGATCAGGTCTAGGTTTATATTAATACTGTGAAAGTATCAAAGCCTCAGTCCACAGAGAATGCACACAGCCTGTATTCAGAAACTGAGCCTTAAACCAGCTGTCAGGACTTCCTGTAACTTTGTGATGTCACAACAAAGCAGTCACCGCTCTCAGCCACGCCACAAGCCCGCCCACCTGGACAACCATCTCTGAGTGTTTTACCTGATCTCTGCTCTATTTTTATATGGATAATACAGAAAACAGTCAGCCAATGAGAGGAGAGGCTCAGAGCCTCCTCTCTTCTGATTGGCTCCCACCTGTTGTTACTAGAGCTCCAGACGAAGCCTGAGAGAAATTTCCTCGATTGGCGTCCAGAAGTGATTTTGAAATCTTAATGGCCCCCCCCCCATCTTATATTATTGACCTTCTCACCCCTTACCCCCCCTGCTTGCTCTCTTAGAAATGCACATCAGCTGTTGCTCTCAGTTCTAAGGGCGAGGCTTGAGACAGAGGCCTCCTCAACTGTGGAATCTCTTTTTATAAACGGCTTTTAAATTGAGTTTCTGTTTGTATTATGCTTTTTGTGTCTTTTTTATCATTTGAAGGTTTGTATCGTTGTTTTGCAGAACCCTTTTGTCCACAGGACATCCTCAATCTGTACAAGGAGCCGGAACGGAACCAGAAAGCTTTTGAACTACATGCTCGACAATCTAGCAGGTGAATGGCTCGGCTGCGTCACCTTAACCGCACGCCGTTTATCGGAACTCATGCATATTTAAACCTGCAGTTTATTGTAAACGCGAAGCACCTGAGGTATATCATCAGCAGGTATGCCATTGTGTTTGTCGTGGACAAATGAGCACTAATCCTCATTCTCCCGCTGCCCTGCCTGTTTTCCCAGTGCACCAGAGCAGCTGCCCCAAAGACCTTGGATCACTCTGAAAGATGCGAGACCAAATGATCCCCTCAGGTAAGGGAGGGGAAGTTACTGCAAGTTACACCTTCAACTTCCCTGCTGGTGTAAAGATTAAGACACGTATTTTTTATTCTTTTATTTAAAACAGCTATAATCAGCGAGGAAGAAGTACTCAGATCCTTTACTTGGGTAAATACTGGCATCAAATATACTTGAAGCAACCAAAAGTCAGGAAGCACACTTCCTATAATCTTTTTCTTTCTTTTAAATCAAGAACAGTCAGGTTGGTAGACATGAGCGTTCTGTGTTTAGTTCACTGACATTTCCTTAATGGATATTGTGGGTTTGGAAGTCGTTGTTTTTTTTTTTTTCCTGTCACTTGATCCAGAGATGGGAAAACTGCCCAGAGCGTCACAGGCTTTAAATGTTGGCCGTCACTTTGTCCTGAAAATAAGTGAGAGGAAGGAAAAAAATAACACTTACAGGCCTATTGGAGCAGAGATGTTAGAGCATGTAGAAGTTTCATCCAGTTTGTTGGTGGTAAGTTGTGTGGAATGAAACTCAATGACAACCATCATCTTTATTAATTAATACAAACATTTATACAACACAAGTTTTTGCTGCTTTTGGAAGCACGGTTAAAGACGGGATGTGGGATAATGACACACGAGACAAAAGAGGTGATTGTGCAACTGAACAACTGAAAACACCGAGAGACGCTGCTTAAAGCTACTTCTCGGGAAAGGAACTGTCTGGTGAGATAAAATGCTAAAGATTTTAAATGAAGCCGTTCAGTTTTGGCCTCGGGAGAGTCATACTTCCCTTTAACATTAAGCCAGTAAATGAGGAGAAGTGTGTGAGAGAGATCCATGTCCAGTTTTCATCCAAAGTACAAAAACCGCATAAAATGTTTCACTCAGTTTTTTTTACAACGCTAACATTGCAAGCATTTGCACAATAGTAAAATGTTGCATATTGCTGACTGATGTTTTAACTTCTCGGTAACTTAAAAATTAAGTCCTCAAATCTTTTGAATTTTCCTACACTCTGCCCAAACTCAAATTGAATGCATCTTCCACCGTTTCCATCTTCTCTGCAGCCGTGTTCACAGTCATGTGCTACAACGTGCTGTGCGACAAGTACGCCACGCGACAGCTGTACGGCTACTGTCCTGCCTCCTGGGCCCTCCCTGGGAGTACCGGAAGAAAGGCATCATGGAGGAAATCACCAACTGTGACGCCGACATCATCAGCCTGCAGGTAAAGGACGGGCCTCTCTGCTTTGAGGAGGACATTGCCTTTGTTGTTACCTCTTTGTCTGCGTGTTCGACTTTTAAGCTGACTTAAAGAATGGGTAGAGACGGTAATGAGGAAAAAAAATCCGCTGACTTCTAATAGAACAGTTTCGTCGTTTCTATTGAGCCGTTCAGTCTCTCAGTCTGGAGCTGCACGGCGCGCTATCAGCTGCTCACATCGACTCACGGTGATCCGACTCCGGTCGCTCTCCTTCAGCACAACGAGGCATTGTCTACTGGAACAGATAAAGAGGCAGAGTGCATTACTGATTAAACTGTCCTGGGTTAGGTTCCAGTCCTCGGGGTAGGAACGTTTTTTAACTCTCCCTTTGGCTGGAAAGTCCCTTATTTGACGTTAATATAACTTGGAAAATGTTTTGGAAATAATTTTTCGGAAGCTGGAAAAGAGAATGTACAAGAAGAGGCTATAAATGCTAATGAAAAAAATTGAGCCCCAGTAACAAGTTAGTTAGTTTAGTTTTTTTGACTTTTAGTGGAAAGGCATCTTCAGGACGGAGCAAACTTCATCCGGATCAGGGAATATCGAGAAAAACTACTCACTAACACCTTTCCACAAACATTTCATGGACTCTCTCAGACGACTTTTTCTTGCCCTGTGTGTCTGCAGGAGGTGGAGACCGAGCAGTACTACACGTCAGAGGTAGCATGTCCTTTTCTGTAAATAGAAAAGGACTTTTCTTTTCTGTGGAGTCCAAATTAGATTCAAGACCAGCTCCAATTTATTTAATTTAAGTTTTGGGCCGAAATCAATGGTAACTTTTATTGCGATAAGATTTTATGTGTTTTGTCGCTCTAGCCTTTTCAGAATAGAGTCAGAAGTGTTGCTAAAGAGAAGCCACAGATTTCTCATCCAAACAAAACTTTTAGTCTTAAACATACCACAATAAGGGCAGGAAGCTTTCTTTGTTTATTTGCTGTTGAGCTGAAGTAATCAGTTGGTTGAAAGATAATCGGCGGCGTTAATCAATGAGCAATTTATCAGGCAAAAACTATAAACATTCTCTGGTTACAGCCTCTCCAGTATGAGGATTAGCTGCTCATCTCTGTTTTATATCACTGTAAACTGAATATGAATATGTTTGGGTGTTGGACATTTACAGACTGTAAATCAGTGTAATAATCGAGAAGATAATTGGCAAATTAATCAATAATAAAGAATAATCATTAAGTGCAGCTGTGGTTTTCTGATTTCCAAAATATTGCTGCCACTTTTGCCATGTCAAAGACCAAACATGTTAATATTACAATACTAGAAAATATTTTTTATTTTATTATGTTTATGAATTAATTATTTAATATAAATCTTAATTATTTTACATGATTATTGAGTATTATTTAACCATTTTTAATCCCTGAAACTTTTTTCCCTTGTGTGACTTTAAGAATGGTAAAGCCTTCTATCAAGGGATAATGATTATTTTCATTATTACTTACTCTGCCAGTTATCTTCTTGATTAATCGTTATGGCGCCTCATTATAATGTCCCACAGTCTAAAGTGGCATTTTCATCTGTTTTCTTTGACAAACAGCTGACAGGCATCTGATCTCACGTTTAAGAAGATAAAATAGTTGCCCGTTAATCTTCTGATATCTATTAATCAACTAATTGTTGCAGCTCTACATTTGTCACATTCTTTAAAGACTTTTTATTTATCCATTTAAAACATTCTTTATAATTATCATATGTCTGTGAGGTTGTGTTGCTCTTTGTAGCGCCAAAAAAATTTTTGCTGCCACCCCGGTGCCAGCTAATGAGTCATCTTGGTTTGTGAAATCAAACTAAAATCTCTCTCTGCCTTTTGCTTTGTGTTTTTCAGATTAACAGGTATGCCAAAGGAAAAATATGATCCCCCAGATCCCCGTAGATGTTACACCATCATGTCAGCCGAGGAGGCGGCCAGTGGGAAGAAGTCTCACTGGGCCGAGCTGGAGATATCTGGTCAGTCTAACTAACTCTCCCTCTGCGTCTGCTTCTGTAGCTACAAACAGTTTAGAGTGAAAACCGTCAATGTCCAGGTGAAAAGAGTCAAAAATAATCCAATGTGTTGTTCTAAAGAAACAGTAAAATAGATCTCATACTGGTTTCCTGTGTGCTGGCTCCAGTTCTCCCAGTGCTTGAAGGACAAACATTTTAAAAAAGTCAGTGAGATGAAGCAGAATATAAAGGCTGCAGTGTTGTTCTCATTGTGTGCTCGCTGTTTCCCGATCTCACCGAGAAGCATCTTGACATTTTTCTTTATCTCACTCACACTGAAGTCAGTGTTTTATATGTGTGCGTGCAAACTGAAGCTGAGCTGGACTTCCTAACGTCTTGTGTTGCAGAGCCCAGCTGAGCAGCAGATGAATCAATAAGGAAAATAAGTTGCAGCCTTACTGAAAGATGAATATTTCTTCCAACCCGCTGTTGATTAAATGAGTGCCAGTTAAATTAGTGATTATCTGTAAAGCACATAAATGACCCCAAGACCTCAGATGTGAATCGACAACCTCAGGCAGAATCACAGAGTTTCGGAGGTTCATAAGTGAATGAATAAGAAACTGAAAGAAATGTTAATCGTTAAACTTCCCCAGAAACCCCAGATTAAGTTAATAATTAACATGAGGTTTCTGCTGTAGTTTCCCAATATCAAACAATAAGTCAGTGTCATTCACTTCAGATGTAAGGGAGATTTCTTCTTGATGAAAGCTACTAAAGAGAAATGTAGAAACTTAACTCTGTTCCTTTGTGTAAAAAAAAAAAAAGAAGAGAAAAAGAAATTGTAAATTCTGTATTAAAGTGCCGTAATAGCTCCCAGAGTCGTGCTGAATTCCATCAGTCTGGTTTTAATTGTAGGTTTTAGGGTCACATGATGGTGAGAATGCAGTTTCATGAGGTTTTTCACCCTGAAAAAATTATATTCTGGCTGAAAAACTGAAGTTATATCTTTGTCTTGGCACAAAAAAAATCCAAAATTAAAATGGTTTCAAGGGAAAACAACATCTGCCACAAAACACAAATATCAATATTCACATTGGCTTTCAATAGACGTGGTGTAGAAATCTGTTTTGTTCCCTGATCACAAAGCTGACATACTGTGTGTGTGTGTGTGTGTGTGTGTGTGTGTGTGTGTGTGTGTGTGTGTGTGTGTGTGTGTGTGTGTGTGTGTGTGTGTGTTTGGACTCAGGGCGGGTGAGGAGTCTGAGCAGCTCGTTGTGGACGCTCACTCACCTGACGGCGCTGCACATCAACGACAACAACCTGAGCCGCATCCCGCCGGACATTGCCAAGCTGCCCAACCTGGTCTACCTGAACCTGTCGTCCAATAAGCTCCGCAGCCTGCCCGCCGAACTGGGCAACATGGTCTCACTCAGGTTGGTCACCTGCGGGGGAAAAAAAATCAGCGTGGCAGAGATGCGTTTAGGGACTGACATGATTTCACAGTGCAGTGAAAACTCGGAACATCTTGATATTCAAAACAGGCTTTATAAATATGACAAGAAAAATTATTAATGTTCTGCAGTAGGTCTGGAAAATATTGATAACATCACAATATGTTATTTTGTATTGCAATTGGGAAACCGTCTTTCAATATATTAATAATCATGTGAAATAATTGCCAGACAAATCAGGGTTCTTCAGCAATTAAATCCTGAACATCCAATATTATCATGAAGCAGACCTGCTCATTAACAGGTAACATCTCCCACAATGGCCTCATATAACCATGACCTTTGAAAGTATTGGCTGCCTCTAACTCTGTGAGTTAGTGGATGTAGTAAAGTCTGAAAAAGTCCAGTGATTTCCCCTTTTTCCCTCTAAGATTGTGACATTCAGCTCTGACTCATTTATGCAAAGAGAATATAAACACAGTCTGGCACAACACAAAAAGGGGAACATGCTACTAAAAAGACTTTGGAAGTTTTCCACTGAATTTGAATAACTCAGACTGCTGGAGCCTTGCTTGAATAGACTCTGGAAAACATTTTTGCACGAAAGGAGGACTGTGGATTATTTCCGCCATCGCTTACATTAGCAGAGGGTCACTTAATGGACAGAGCGATCAGGAGGAATCTGCATTGTTGTAAGACAGGCTTGAAAAATGCGAGTCTGTCTTTAAACTACATGCACGCATTTGTTATGTGATTTACTGCAGCACATCTGGCAACAAGATAATCTGTAATTATTCCATTAATTATGTTTGCACAGTGAAAATATGAGCTGCTGTTTGAAGTAAATGGATGTGGTCGTAGTATTGAATCTTTTAAACTAGATCTGAATTTCAGATGTAATTTGTGTACGGCTGAATGTAATAACTAATGACTTCATGAATGAGGGTCATTGTTGCTGCTGTGTTTGGATAATTCTTTATTTGAAATGGAAGCAAACAAACCCAGGCTCCAGTTCTCATGTTCGCTGGCGTTCGTCCACTTGCTTGAAGTTTACACAAAGGATTCAATTTTGCTAATGACTGCACGTTTGTGCAAAGCTTTCATTTTCAGTTAACGGTGTGTGTTTTGTCTGGGAAAAATAGACAATTCGTTCAAAGGATTATGTGACAAAAGGGTCCCAACGCACATAAGGAAAGTGATCAAACAGCACGGTGGTTAAAACGCAGTGATCAAACACTCACAAGAAAAGAGGGAGATTTTATAAAAATGTGTGGGTGAGAATACTTTTCCCTTCTGGGCTCAGAAAAGCATCTCACCTCAAAAGTGACAAATGCATAACAACGAAGATGACAAGCAAAGGCACGTTTTGACTGGAAGACTAAAACTGAAGTGACAACAAAGCAGAACATGGCAGAAGATGTTTTTAACACCAGCAAAAAAAAATAAAAAAAATACACCAATGACAAGGAATTACTGCACTGTTAAAAGAAAGTTTGTGAAAGAAAAGAAAAGACTGAAACGCAAAACATCTGACATCTGTCTCCTGTTTGTTGCAGGGAATTGCTTTTAAACAACAATCTTTTGCGAGTTCTGCCTTATGAACTTGGGAGGCTTTTCCAGTTACAAACCTTGGGGCTAAAAGGTGAGTCTCTTCTGTGATCGCTCTCACTATTTTGGACATAGAGATTATATTCTGACAGTTTTAAATCACCACTATCCACCATATACCAGAACACACAGGGAGTATGTGAGCCAAACTGTAGTCTGTGAGAAATCTTTGATTTGAACCCAAATTTTAAATTTTAAAGGTCTCGTACTGTATAAAGTGGGATCTCCATGTGTTGATTGATTATAGATCAGGTCTAGGTTCTATATTAATACTGTGAAAGTATCAAAGCCTCAGTCCACAGAGAAATGCACACAGCCTGTATTCAGAAACTGAGCCTTAAAACCAGCTGTCAGGACTTCCTGTAACTTTGTGATGTCACAACAAAGCAGTCACCGCTCTCAGCCACGCCACAAGCCCCGCCCACCTGGACCCACCATCTCTGAGTGTTTTACCTGATCTCTGCTCTATTTTTAATGGATAATACAGAAAACAGTGAGCCAATGAGAGGAGAGGCTCAGAGCCTCCTCTCTTCTGATTGGCTCACCAACCTGTTGTTACTAGAGCTCCAGACAGAAGCCTGAGAGAAATTTCCTCGATTGGCGTCCAGAAGTGATTTTGAAATCTTAATGGCCCCCCCCCATCTTATATTATTGACCTTCTCACCCCTTACCCCCCCTGCTTGCTCTCTTAGAAATGCACATCAGCTGTTGCTCTCAGTTCTAAGGGCGAGGCTTGAGACAGAGGCTCCTCAACTGTGGAATCTCTTTTTATAAAACGGCTTTTAATTGAGTTTCTGTTTGTATTATGCTTTTGTTCTTTTTTATCATTTGAAGGTTTGTATCGGTTGTTTTGCAGGAAACCCTTTGTCCCAGGACATCCTCAATCTGTACCAGGAGCCGGACGGAACCAGAAAGCTTTTGAACTACATGCTCGACAATCTAGCAGGTGAATGGCTCGGCCTGCGTCACCTTAACCGCACGGCCGTTTATCGGAACTCATGCATATTTAACCTGCAGTTTATTGTAAACGCGAGCACCTGAGGTATATCATAGCAGGTATGCCATTGTGTTTGTCGTGGACAAATGAGCACTAATCCTCATTCTCCCGCTGCCCTGCCCTGTTTCCAGTGCACCCAGAGCAGCTGCCCCAAAGACCTTGGATCACTCTGAAAGAGCGAGACCAAATGATCCCCTCAGGTAAGGGAGGGAAGTTACTGCAAGTTACACCTTCAACTTCCTGCTGGTGTAAAGATTAGACACGTATTTATTTATTCTTTTATTTAAAACAGCTATAATCAGCGGAGGAAGAAGTACTCAGATCCTTTACTTGGGTAAAATACTGGCATCAAAATATACTTGAAGCACCAAAAGTCAGGAAGCACACTTCTATAATCTTTTTCTTTCTTTTAAATCACAGAACAGTCAGGTTGGTAGACATGAGCGTTCTGTGTTTAGTTCACTGACATCTCCTTAATGGATATTGTGGTTTGGAAGTCGTTGTTTTTTTTTTTCCTGTCACTTGCCAAGATGGGAAACTGCCCAGAGCGTCACAGCTTTAAATGTTGGCCGTCACTTTGTCCTGAAAATAAGTGAGAGGAAGGAAAAAAATAACACTTACAGGCCTATTGGAGCAGAGATGTTAGAGCATGTAGAGTTTCATCCAGTTGTTGTGGTAAGTTGTGTGGAATGAAACTCAATGACAACCTCATCCTTTATTAATAAAACACATTTATACAACACAAGTTTTGCTGCTTTGGAAGCACGGTTAAAGACGGGATGTGGGATAATGACACACTGAGACAAAAGAGGTGATTGTGCAACTGAACAACTGAAAAACCGAGAGACGCTGCTTAAAGCTACTTCTCGGGAAAGGAACTGTCTGGTGAGATAAAATGCTAAAAGATTTTAAATGAACCGTTCAGTTTTGGCCTCGGGAGAGTCATAACTTCCCTTTAACATTAAGCCAGTAAATGAGGAGAAGTGTGTGAGAGAGATCCATGTCCAGTTTCATCCAAAGTACAAAAACCGCATAAAATGTTTCACTCAGATTTATTTACAACCGCTAACATTGCAGCATTTGCACAATAGTAAAATGTTCATATTGCTGACTGATGTTTTAACTTCTCGGTAACTTAAAACTAAGTCCTCAAATCTTTTGATATTTCCTACACTCTGCCCAAACTCAAATTGAATGCATCTTCCACGTTTCCATCTTCTCCTGCAGCCGTGTTCACAGTCATGTGCTACAACGTGCTGTGCGACAAGTACGCCACGCGACAGCTGTACGGCTACTGTCCGTCCTGGGCCCTCAACTGGGAGTACCGGAAGAAAGGCATCATGGAGGAAATCACCAACTGTGACGCCGACATCATCAGCCTGCAGGTAAAGGACGGGCCTCTCTGCTTGAGGAGGACATTGCCTTTGTTGTTCCTCTTGTCGCGTGTTCGACTTTTAAGCTGACTTAAAGAATGGAGTAGACGGTAATGAGGAAAAAAAATCCGCTGACTTCTAATGAACAGTGTCGTTTCTATTGAGCCGTTCAGTCTCTTCAGTCTGTAGAGCTGCACGGCCGCTATCAGCTGCTCACATCGACTCACGGTGTCCGACCGCTCTCCTTCAGCACAACCGAGGCATTGTCTACTGGAACAGATAAAGAGGCAGATGCATTACTGATTAACTGTCCTGGGTTTAGGTTCCAGTCCTCGGGGTAGGAAACGTTTTTTACTCTCCTTTGGCTGGAAAGTCCCTTATTTGACGTTAATATCACTTGAAAATGTTTTGGAAATAATTTTTCGGAAGCTGAAAAGAGAATGTAAAGAAAGAGTGCAATACTATTCAATACTTATGGACATTGCCTCTTTTTCACACCTGGTTTTCACCTTTTTTATGCTTTTAATTTTTGTTTATTAAGTGGATTATTGAAAAGAGAAAGGATGAGTTGATATGAAAAAAATTCAGCCGCAGTGAACAAGTTAGTTAGTTTTAGTTTTTTTGACTTTTATGGAAAGGCATCTTCAGGACGGAGCAACTTCATCCGGATCAGGGAATATCGAGAAAACTACTCACTAACACCTTTCCACAAACATTTCATGGACTCTCTCAGACGACTTTTTCTTGCCCTGTGTGTCTGCAGGAGGTGGAGACCGAGCAGTACTACACGTTGTTTCTGGAAACACTAAAGGAGCGCGGCTACGACGGCTACTTCTGTCCGAAGTCTCGTGCCAAACTGGTTTCTGAACAGGAGAGGAAGCACGTGGACGGCTGCGCTGTGTTCTTCAAGACCGAGAAGTGAGTTTAACTTTTCTATGTTTGACAGAACGTGCACGTTGATATTTATAGAGGTGGAGCTTTACAGAAGTTGATCTGAATCTGACTCAGACCACATGGTGACCGCATGTGGTGTTGGCAGGATGCCTCCTGTTATTAAGTAAAGCAGGAAGTTTTTTTACTATAAAACCGAGGCCTCTGTGGATGTTAATGCTTCTTTGTGGCTTCTCGTGCTCCTGCAGGTTTACGTTGGTCCAGAAACACACTGTGGAGTTCAACCAGGTGGCGATGGCCAACTCCGAGGGCTCGGAGGTCATGCTGAACAGAGTGATGACCAAAGACAATATCGGGGTGGCCGTTCTGCTCGAGGTTAACAAGGACGTGTTTTCCGGTGGTAAGAACGGACGGAGTCGCTCTGTGAACCGTCTTCACGACAAAACAGAGGCTCTAATGTCACCATCTCTTGTCTTGTTGATCTTTGATCCGAGGCGATCCAAGCTTCCCAGACACATACCCACTTCAGCCCAGTGAGGTCCAGTGTCATTAACAACAATAAAACCTACTGGAGCATGATTGTCATTTAGCAATCAATCTGTCAATTATTGTTCTCAATTAACCGTTTAATATATAACATATATAACATTCATTGATCAACAGTCCACTCCCCAAAGATTCCATTTATAATAATAGTACAATAATAATAACTTTATTTATACAGCACCTGTAAAAACCGAGTGTACAAGGTGCTTTGACAACAAGGCAGCAACAACATATATGTGTGTATATATACACTACCGTTCAAAAGTTTGGGGTCACCCAGACAATTTTGTGTTTTTCATGAAAACTCACACTTTTATTTATCAAATGAGTTGCAAAATGAATAGAAAATATAGTCAAGACATTGACAAGGTTAGAAATAATGATTTTTTATTTGAAATAATAATTTTCTCCTTCAAACTTTGCTTTCGTCAAAGAATGCTCCATTTGCAGCAATTACAGCATTGCAGACCTTTGGCATTCTAGCTGTTAATTTGTTGAGGTAATCTGGAGAAATTTCACCCCACGCTTCCTGAAGCCCCTCCCACAAGTTGGATTGGCTTGATGGGCACTTCTTGCGTACCATACGGTCAAGCTGCTCCCACAACAGCTCAATGGGGTTGAGATCTGGTGACTGCGCTGGCCACTCCATTACAGATAGAATACCAGCTGCCTGCTTCTTCCCTAAATAGTTCTTGCATAATTTGGAGGTGTGTTTTGGGTCATTGTCCTGTTGTAGGAGGAAATTGGCTCCAATCAAGCGCTGTCCACAGGGTATGGCATGGCGTTGCAAAATGGAGTGATAGCCTTCCTTATTCAAAATCCCTTTTACCTTGTACAAATCTCCCACTTTACCAGCACCAAAGCAACCCCAGACCATCACATTACCTCCACCATGCTTGACAGATGGCGTCAGGCACTCTTCCAGCATCTTTTCAGTTGTTCTGCGTCTCACAAATGTTCTTCTGTGTGATCCAAACACCTCAAACTTCGATTCGTCTGTCCATAACACTTTTTTCCAATCTTCCTCTGTCCAATGTCTGTGTTCTTTTGCCCATATTAATCTTTTCCTTTTATTGGCCAGTCTCAGATATGGCTTTTTCTTTGCCACTCTGCCCTGAAGGCCAGCATCCCGGAGTCGCCTCTTCACTGTAGACGTTGACACTGGCGTTTTGCGGGTACTATTTAATGAAGCTGCCAGTTGAGGACCTGTGAGGCGTCTATTTCTCAAACTAGAGACTCTAATGTACTTGTCTTCTTGCTCAGTTGTGCAGCGGGGCCTCCCACTTCTCTTTCTACTCTGGTTAGAGCCTGTTTGTGCTGTTCTCTGAAGGGAGTAGTACACACCGTTGTAGGAAATCCTCAGTTTCTTGGCAATTTCTCTCATGGAATAGCCTTCATTTCTAAGAACAAGAATAGACTGTCGAGTTTCACATGTTCACATGTCAAGTTCTCTTTTTCTGACCATTTTGAGAGTTTAATCGAACCCACAAATGTGATGCTCCAGATTCTCAACTAGCTCAAAGGAAGGTCAGTTTTATAGCTTCTCTAACCAGCAAAACTGTTTTCAGCTGTGCTAACATAATTGCACAAGGGTTTTCTAATCATCCATTAGCCTTCTAACGCAATTAGCAAACACAATGTACCATTAGAACACTGGAGTGATGGTTGCTGGAAATGGGCCTCTATACACCTATGTAGATATTGCATTAAAAACCAGACGTTTGCAGCTAGAATAGTCATTTACAAGGACAAGAAGCCAGGATAGTAGTCGTGTCTTGAGAAGATAAATGTGTGAGTTTCTGTTATTTTATAGTGATATAATATATAAAAAACACACGAATCCTCACAGTTATCTTGCAATCCAAATTTATGTGTTTACCCAATGATAAAAAAGCATCAGGAAAAGTTTATCTGCAGTAACGTCTTTTTCCCACAAGGTGTCAGCTGTGACTTTGATTATAAATCAATACAATACACGCGATGTCAATCAAGGGAGACCAGTGGTCTGTTATAATGTAATTCTTCTGGTGGTAATATATTTGCTGACGTGTTTTTCATAGTGATACTTACAGTTTACAGCAGAACTTCCCGTTTGTGGTTTGATCCGTTTTTCATTGACGTTCTGTAAATCTCTTTCTTCCCTTTTAATTATTTTTTAGCATCTCAGCACTTTTGCATTTAGTTGCATCAGAGCTCTGTACTTTTATTTAACCAAAATAAGACCATGTTTGTTTGGAGGTTTGGGGGATTTTACAAGCCTCCTTCACTCTTGCTAAGTTTTTTTTCTTCCCTTTTTAGATTTCTTTCATCACACCTAAATAGTTTGTGGAGTGTTTTCTTTTTTGTTAAACATTGTAATTGTACTGGAGCTGATTGAATTCCATCATTGGCTGTGTATCTGTGGCATAATCCAGTTTTTCCCTCCCGTTTTCAGGCATGAAGCCGCCACAGGAGAGGCAGCTGATCCTGGTGGCCAACGCCCACATGCACTGGGACCCCGAGTACTCGGACGTCAAGTTGATCCAAACCATGATGTTCCTGTCGGAGCTGAAGAGCATCGCCGAGAGGGCCTCGGGTTCCGTGGCGGCCGGCTCGCCGACCTCTGACCCATCCTCCATCCCCATCGTCCTGTGTGCTGACCTCAACTCGCTGCCCGACTCCGGTAGGACTGTCTCACGTGTCTGATAGTGTTTGAGTCTCACACTCAGTCTCTGGTTGGGTGGTTAGTCTCTATTGTCGGTGTTAAAGCATCAACACGGTATAAATTTGTGTCAAACGATAAGAGGGATGTTCTGGATTAACGTGGCGCACCTTTTAGAATAAGATTATTACCTTTGCACGATCCAGGTGTGGTGGAATACCTGAGCAACGGAGGAGTGGCCGAGAACCACAAGGACTTCAAGGAGCTACGCTACAACGAATGTCTGACCAACTTCAGCTGCAACGGCAAGAACGGCAACTCAGACGGAAGCATCACACACAGCTTCCAGCTGAAGAGCGCCTACGACAGCAATCTGATGCCTTACACCAACTACACATATGACTTCAAGGTAAGAGCCTCCTCTGTGCGTCTGTTCGCAGGTTTTAAATATCTGATTTTGTGATTATTTTCCAATGGATCTATTTGCCTTCTGTTGCAGTTCTTCGTTGGTTTACATTCATTTTTGTAAGGTGGAGAATCAACAAGCAAACTTGTGAAACTCGATTGAATTCTACAATTCAAGCAAGTCTGCTAAGAGATTTTCAGATTGCATAAAAATGAATGGAAACCAATGGAGGCCTAGAACACAAAAAAATAAAACATTCAAATTCGTAGAACAGCATTAGTGATAATAAAACCTGTGTGTTTAGAAGTAACTGAGCTAAAACATGTAAAACCCCTGCTATATGCTAATGTAATATATATATATAATATAATATATAATAAAATAAAACAAATGTAAAAATTATATATAAAATATATTAGAAATTGGAACAAATTCACATATTGACATACATGTCTAGCCCATACAAACATGTATGATTATATTGTAGACATATGTTACATTAATCTGAGCCTGTCATTATATGTTGATATTAATTACAATAGGTCCAAAGCTTTGATGCTTTCCCAGAATATGAAGATAGACATGTTGAAATTATGAGAAATTAATTAGAAAAACATATATAAGTATGTAGTGTTTTTATTTGTAAGTTGTTTTAATAAACTTGCCTATATAAATTTAAATATACATATATTGTTTGCATATACGCTTGCAACATGTTACACCCTATAAAAATCAATTGTGGATATTTTTAATATATGTACATTTATGAATTTTACTACGGTTATTTCATATATGTTATATCCTCTTATATATAGCAACATCATATATATATACATTTCTGTATGGGATGGTTCTTCAAGCTAATTTTTTTGAAGTCAGGTTTGGAGACTCGGTGTAACTGACCAGTGTTTCCTGATTCTCACTTTTGTGTTGGCGTGTAGAGATAAAGACACTGTTACACCTTTGCTGTCATCATGCCAAGCATCAGCTAAATTTCTCAACCAAAATCCTAAATAAAATTTTTTTTTTTTTTAAAAACCCAGAATGCCTTGCAATGAATCCAAATGATCTTTAATCAGCCTTTTCACTAAGGCTGATTTCTCACCACTTGTGATGAACGGTTTTTTAAACGGAGCAGTTACAATCTTTGGGTCTAGTGGAGCTTCAGGTTAAAGGGAAAAACAGTTCAACAGTGGGAGGTTTAAAAGCCTGAATCTAGGTGATGCAGCAGAGTATTAATTATTAGATTCATATATGTGGGATGTCTTATATCATTATGAGTATTTCTTCTGTGGGCGATCCCATTGAATGTGGAAAACCCTGATCGGTGCAGCGTTGGAGGTTATCCCATACAGTTCATAGTTTCAGCTCTGGTTTCTATTGAGTCATGCAGGCAGTTCTGCTCCCTGGTAGTTATTACATTAGTAAATAGTAATGGACTTCCCCGACTGTATTACACAGACCTTTTAATGTGCAGAAGTTCTTACAGAAAAATCAAAAGGCTCCTTTTTGAAACTTGAGGAAAAATCTAATAATCTCTGTTTTGTGTGGAAGTTGTGTGGAGTAGGTGTTTAACTCAGTATAAATGAATTAATTCCTTGGGTGACTAATTAATGGTAAGGGTTAGGTAGGCAGAATGAAATGAGTCAACTCATTAGTGCGCAAACATCCGCCGTCCAAAGCGTTGCAGGTGACTCATACGAGACCAACATTATGCTGCTGTAAGAGGATGATTCTTCATGCATGAGAAGGTTTTTCTTTTCCTTCACATAAACAAAAACAAGAATCTTTCCTTTATTTGACTGACAAAAACACTGAAGACGTCTTCACCTCCAGGTTTCTCACCAGAGACATCATGAAAACTTTCATAAAGCTGTCCACTTTAGAAGATGAATATATACCGATTCCTCTTAGACAGACAACTTTAATTTCAGATGGAAGGATCCTTTCTTCATTATTTGTCCCACTGCGGATTTTCCCTCCAGTTTTGGCCAAGAATGTAAAAGCACATATTTTATTCAGTATAAATAATGATATTTTTGGTCTTTGAGAAAAGCTCTGAAGAGGCCAAAGTGGAGCTTCTGTGTCGTCTCCAGTCTCGCTGTGGAGCATTATCTGAATACTTTTGATAATAATAATAAACTTTCTTTGTATTTCATACAAGAAATGCAGCTCAAAGTGGTTTAACTACCAAGCAATTACATCACATGAAAAGACGTAAAATGAACATAAAAACATGTTAAAAACATTCGTGTAAATTTGATGGAATAATAATAAAATAATAATAAAAATGAAATAAATAATAAAAATGAATAATTAATTAAAGTTAAAGTTGGATTGCTGTGAAAGTATAAAATCAGTAAGATGTCAATACTTATAACAGCATTTAAAAGAGGTGCTGAGCAAAGTGTAAAATTTGTGTAGAGATAAGTTTAATTATCTCTAATAAGATCCCATTTTTTTAATTAAGCTTTCTTTTAAAAATACTAAAAAAAACAAAAACAAACTGGGGCTGCATCCCCAGTTTTCCTACGACTGTTACTGGGAACCTTCAATAAACCAGCTGTAGATGATCTCAGTGTTCTCGGAGGTCTTTTAGTTAACAAGGGAAAAATGTAACAGGAAGCCAGAGCAGAGCAGCTGAAACTGGGCTGATGTTCTCGCTCTCCTCTTGGTTCTGGTTCGAGTTTTGAATGAGCTGAAGTCTCAGATCACGAGCCAGGGACATTTCCCAACACTGCATTAAAATGCAAAGTTATTGTGCAGCTGCTTTGTGTCGTGTTACTGTTTTACTGGGAATGAAGTGAAAGACTTTTTTCTTGTTCAGGGTCAGTAATTTGCAGATTTTGTTACCTTCATACAAAGCCAGGCTAGCAGTTTCCCTTTGTTTTCAGTCTTTGTGCTAAGCTAAGCTACCGGTCCCCTGGCAGTCGTAGTTCCCAAAACCTTTATATTGAGACAAAATTTAAGAGTTGTATTTGAAAAAGGGTTTTTAAACACTGTCATATTTAAATAAAAAGGTTTTAAAAGGAGAAGTATCTGATCAGAATCTGAAGTATTCAGAGTAAGTATTGATTTTTCGATCTCATGATGCGCTTGTGTCTGCAGGGCGTGATCGACTACATCTTTTTCTCCAAGACCCACATGAGTGTCCTGGGCCTGCTGGGACCGCTGGACAGCCAGTGGCTCATCGACAACAACATCACCGGCTGCCCCCACCCCCACATCCCCTCGGACCACTTCTCCCTGCTGGCCCAGCTGGAGCTGCACCCTCCCCTGTCCCATCCGCTCAACCCCCTAAACGGGCTGCACCTGCCGGTCAACAGGTAGTGCAGCCTGAGAGAGACCCCCCCCTCCCCCCATTCCCCCGCCAAAACTCCCACGCCCACCCTCCTTTTACCCCAGCCCCACCCACCCACCTTTTAAACACTGTCTCCCCCCCTCCCCTTCCTCCTCCTCCAGCTTTATACAGGACCCTGTACAGTTTACCAATCATGTTAAAACTCAGACACCATCCAACCCCCTCCAACCCTAAGACACACCTACCTAAAAGGAGTGAAGTATTCGCCCAGTTTGTTGCTCCTTTTTGTGTTTTTTTGCACACTGTAAATGTTTATTTTATTTTATTTTTTTTTTCTCCCTCCCCTTGAAAAGTCTTGATACCAAATGTTGGGCTTGGGATGAAGCTGAAATGGTGACTCCCCCAATGTCAACTGTTTTTCTTTGCCTTAGACATGATCATGACCGCTTGTAGATTCTGCTCCTAAAAACAACAAACCTTAACTCATACTATCTACCTTTTTTAAGACAAATCTACGACACGAATATCAGCTGATTGACTGGATTTCATTTGGGTTTCTTCTCTCATTTCACGTAGCTGTGAAATAAATCTTTTTTCTTTTTTTCTTTTTAAGGAGTAAAAACACAACATAATATTAATGCTGCACCACAGCATGTTGTATGCTGTGTTAAACTCACAGTCTTGTAGAACTGGAACCTGGACATCTCTCCCAAACTAAACTTGACAGGTATTTAAAAATAAAAAGCAGTAACACTACAAACAGCTGAATCTTAAGTTATGAATGTTGTAGGAGGAACGTGAAAGGTTTGTTTACATCAGCGCATATTTTAAATTCTGATCAGCCAAGAAACACCAAAAAACACTTCAGTCATTTATTATATTACTGCAGTTTTTAAGGTTGAAAAGTTCTGACTGGGCATGATGAGTAATGTAACGTCATTGTAACACTAAACTGCTGTGTTTCGTATGGGAATTAGAGTATTGAATCATCTCATGCCACAGCCTATGAATCTTTGGTCACATTACAGCACTGATTATATTGATGATGCACTGTTCGAGGGGGCTTTCGAATTGAGGCCAGCTTTGTGGAAAATGGCGAACGATCCCACGTGCTCGAACCTTCCCTGGATCGCATTTCCACATCGTTTGGGATCATGTTGCCTGGAGAGGATGTCACCTGACTCATCCTCCTCGCCAGGTAACAAATCTTAACCTGAAAGCTGCCTCACAGTCCTGCGTGGATGTCACTGAGCTGCCGCATTCAGCTGCATTCACTTCTTCTTTGATACGGGTCTCGAACCTTCTCCTTCGACCGTTGCTGAAGATTTTACTTGCAGAGGTATTTTCGCTTTCATCTTGGCTGATTTATGCTCACCGTAGTTTAAAAGAGGCGTTTTCTGCAGAAACTATGAACTAAGAAAACAATCAATTAAGCCTAAATGACGCACGCAATCTTTGACTTGCTTTGAAAAACATGTTTTAAGACATGAAAGATATTTGTAACACAACCCCTGACGGTGACAAAGAATGCGCTTTACATTTTTACTTTTTGAAGTCTTGAACATCTGCGGTCTTAAAAGAGTGTCCTCCTGTTTCCCCATCACCTGAATGGCCAAAGAATCTCCCCAGAACGAGTGACTTATGCTCTGCCGATAATAAAATAATATTTATTTATTGATGCCAGAGAAAAAAAATAATCCTCCTGAGAAGAATCTGCTGATGATTCGAGTTCAGGAGCCGAATGTATTCACCAACGGCTCACTAAGAAATTGGTTGTTGGAGCCTCTTAATGTTTAAGATTCCTGTGGACTCTAAACTTTGTATATTTGTGTCAGATGATTAGAACTAATAGCCCTTTATGTAAGTTGTAACTCAGGGCTATGCTATGCATCGAGCAGTACCTCTCAAACTAAAGACTCTCAGAGTCGCGTTGTACGAGCAAAACCAAACAGGAAGCTATTGTTCTGAAAATCCTTTATAAGCACAGGTAACGTATGTACTTGCATACATATATGTCGTTGTCGCTGTCGTAGTAGAAGTCCCACGTCTTTGTGCATTTTTTGATAGAACTACTGCTGCACTTTTGCTCCATTCCCAGAATTTGGGAAGTGCAAAATTTGTCTAATTTTAGAGTCGTCAGAAAGTGCAAAAGGTGTTCAGATAAATTTGGTTTGGAGACACTTTGGAGTTTTAAAAACATCACTTATTTGGTTTTGTTGTAAGGCTTTTTAGAGAGGTTCACGAATCGGTGTGGGATCGACAAGATGAATGAACGCAGGGATAGGACTGGGTATCGATACCGGCGCCACACCTTGATACAAACCCCTCGTTTCAGCACTTATACAAAAATACTCTTTTTCTTTCAATGTTTAGAGAAAGTTTTTAAAAAGTTTAAAAAAAGTAACAGATTTTTGTCCCTTACAAAAATTCTCAATTGTTTAATGTCGTCTAAACCAGTGGCTTCAAACCTCAGGGTTCAGGGACCCACACGAAGGGTCACAAGATAATTTCTTCAGTCGTCAGTACAGCTGCTTTTCCTAAAATAAAACACAATTGGTGACAATCTGATTGAAAGAATTACAGTAGCTATAAAGACCCGTCAATGCAATTTCAGACACATTTAGACTGATATAGAAACAAAATACTTCAGAATTGGATGACCAGCTTCTATCTTTGCCGGGGGGGTTGGGGGGGGGGGATTGGGGGGGGGGGGGGGCGCTGTGCCAGTCACAGTGTTGAACATGTCTGGCACGTTTCATGGCTGTAGTGTCTAGTAAACCCTGACCTTTTTATGAGATTGAATTAGTTAAATTAGTCAAAGCATTTGCTCTGTTCAGTATTTGAAAAAGAAGAAAAAGCCATAATTATATTTTTGGGATAAATGGTGTCGGCACAACATGGCACCCAGTAACCTCAGCTTTAAATGAACGGCATTCAGATCAGTTCACCTGGCCTGGAACGCGCAGTGTCGGCTTTTTGCTTCAGTTGCACGAGCGCCTCCTCTGGTTTTGGAGGCGTGGGATCTTTTGTGAGCATTTTGAGGCTTATACTTCACTCCTGAAAAACTCACCCCACAGGGTTTTTCTGATTTTGTACAACAGCTGTACAGAAATTACACTTGTCTTCGACGACAGGGCGTCTTTCGCATCTGTGAGGGGAATGTACCATTCTCCGGATAAAGGGGTGTATTTTTTCTCACAAGTCAAAGATGTACTTGGTGTTGTACTTTTTTTTTTCTTTCTTTTTTTTTTTCTTTTTGCCCGGTGCACTAAAGATCTCATATGTGAATACCACCTCCACCTGTCCATGATACTCTTGTAGAGATGAAATGTCTCTGTCCAACCTTGTTTTTGAACTACGGGCATTTTCTGTCTCCAACATGCAGTCTTTCAACTGGTACTTTGTACAATTCAGTATTACCAAGTTTTTGAGAAGAAAAAAGATAAAATGTTGTAGGTTTAAAAGCAGTTTGTCTTGATGGCTTTTATTTCTCCAGTGCACATTTAAGTGTCATCTCACAGCTTTGTGCACTGAGATGACGCTTAATAAAAATTATTATTATTTTTTTTGTTTTCCTCTTTTTATTTGTTGTCTCCCTTTTGAGTCCCCCCCCTCCCTCCCCCCCCCAAAAAATGGCTTTCCAGATCCCTTTCACATCTGTCTTCACACACATGCACAGCCACTTCTTTTACTTTTCTCCTCAGTAATACCCAGCTATCACTACCTGTAAGCATTTGAGCTGTTGATTTGTTTCTGTAGAGCGCACCTCGCATACTTTTTCTACAAACAACGTGCCTAGTTTGTACAACTTCTCCAACAGCAGCACTGCCCATGAGACCAAGACGCTCAGAGATTAACCCAGCACCATCCATCCATCCATCCATCCATCCATCCATCCATCCATCCATCCATCCATCCATCCATCCATCCATCCATCCATTCATCTATCCATCCATCCATCCATCCATCCCTCCAATCCTTCCTGAACCAACCTTTTGGGGGTTGTGATCATGAGGAGTTGAAACTGAGGAATCATTGCTCACCTCAGACTGTACAAACAAACAGCTTTTTTGTATCCACAACGTTCAAGGACAAATCGGTCGTTCCTACCAGAGGTCTGAAATGCACACTCTCACTTGTTTGTGATTTCTCCCTGGTGGGTTTTGTGTTTTACAGATTTCCATTGCAAAGAGCTATCGCTGTCTTGTCCACAGGATTACCACAACCGCCATCACACGCGATTTCTGAATGTAAAAAAAATCCTGTTGTTCAATATCTGGCCCTGGTTTCTTTTGTTTGTTTTTGTTTTGTTTTGTTTAGTTTTGTTTGTTTCCTCCACTGTTGAGTTTTTTCAGACTAAGTTTACACCAGTGTGGTCACTTCATGAGGTTCTGAGTCTTTGGTGGCCAATAGGACGCCCAGCGATGTTCACTGGGAGGAAAGGGAGGATTAATGTGACAAAGTGTTAAGCATTTGAAAGAAGGGTTCGTTGACAGGTCGGTGCATCCAAACCAGGAAACATGAGCTTAAAGGATACTACGTAAATGTTCTCCTCCCAGTGTATTAGCCTGTAAACAGTGTCGTAGGAAAGGAATTCAAAAACATCACACCAAATTAATTCTTAGAAAATTGAGATTATGCAAGTGAACTGAGTTGATATGACCTTTTAAAAATGCATGGTAGAAGATATTTAAATTTAATGTACTGACCACAGGTTAATGCACTGGTTCATATGCTGGAATGAGATCATTACAAAATAAGATTTGGTCTACAAAGGGGGCAGAGACTAAGGTGTCAAGACACTTTTTTAAAAAGTCTTAACCCCGTCAGTTTGTTTGACAGTTAACCAACAATTTTCAGTTTCCTGTCTTATCTTCAAAATTTGGGCAATATCGAGTGTGAAGAATAAGGAATGCCAGGCGGTTATTTCTGGAAATAATGAGTTTTTTTTTCCTTGTAGCATTCCTAGAAAAATGATTTTAAAGTTGCTGCCTTTCGGCAACTTCAGCAGATTTGTTTTATTCATGTGTAGTAAGTGACGTGAAACTGGGCGAGGACTCTCAGCCACCAGCAGACACCAACAAAGGTGCTACATTATCTCTCAAGAGGATTTTAAAGAACTGCACTTAAACCTGTTATATGTAACTAAAATGTTAAGTTTCTATTTCCAGACCAGCAGCTCTTCACCACATTGGTTTTCAGTCCTCCCAGCCTCCGCAGCAGACGCGAGGAACCAGTCAGTGAGCGTCTGTCTGGAGGGAGAACCTGCAGCTTTGTGGTGAAGAGCTGCTAACGTTAGACACAGCAGGTTTTTGTATTGTGGAATCCAAAGTGTGCATCATGTTTGACAATTAAATGTCAAAAAGCTGCAAAACAGCAGTGACACAAGTCACTGTTTACCCTGCGAGGACGCGAGGAAGTTTGTCTGACGTAGGTGGCGGTGCTGACTTGGTTGTGAAAAGGAAAAAAAAAATACAGATGTAGCCTTTGTAGACGTCCTTTTAACTTTTGTTTTGCAAGCTGAGTTGCTGCTGCACATTGCAGTTAGATATGTTTAAGTGAAGTTGTGTCATCAGGAGAAGCGTTTTTTGGGGATTCCTTTAACACCCTCACCCCCCCCCTCCCAAAAACAGGATGAAAATAAATGAATGAGTAAATACAAAAATAAAAAAAGATTCAAATCTGTGAAAGCTGCCAAATTAATTTTTTCTTTTTTTATAATTTTATTTATAAAAGAAAATTACACTGCAAATGAAATCCACATTATTTAAAATCAAAATGACTACAGGATGTTTCACCACTGTCAGATGAGGACCACCTAATTTTCATGCTTCCATATAATTACCAAAATTACATGTATTCCAAAACATTTACATGCTCCATAAATTTATAAAATATTAATAAATTGAATTTTAATAGCACTTTTAGTTACAAAGTGCATAACAGGGATAAGAAACAACAAACAATAAAAGCAAAGGCAAATAAAAACAAATAATGAGATCAAACAATACTAATAATAATTCTATTATCGAAATTATTGTTACATGTTTTTTGCTAAAAAAAAAAAAAAAATCTGGATTTTAATCCAACTAAAATCTGTTTTCTCTCAATTCCTGGAAAACTGAAATTTTGATTAAAATGGAAAATAGTTATTTGGTATCAGCTGTTTTGGGGGCCTCAGTGGCTCCTGGGGGTAACAGTCACAACACTGTTAGGGACTATGAAAAGTATTACCAAAATAAATCTCAAAATAATATAATAATTTGAATTTGTGCAAATCTTTTAATCATGAAAACAACCAAATGTTCTATTTATCTAAATTTCACACGACAAAAATAAGTGCTTCCTGTAACGTCCCACGTTTTTGTACCAAGAGCTGCTATAACTGAACCCTCACGACCACTGATATTTATATGAATGAAGTGATGGACGTCTACAGAGGCTAGAGTATCTGTATCTGACATGTGAGCAGTTACACCTCAGTTGAAACCAAACATGCTCAACAGCACCTGTATCATTGCTCCACACCCCCCACACTCTCCCCCCACCTCCTGTAGGCAATAAACATGTCACTTTTGAAGAGTCTTTTTGTCTGTGCTTTATTTCTTTATGATAAAAAAAACACACACACACACACAAATCATGGATACAACAAAAAGCACGTCAGAGATAACAGCACCATCCGAAATGTAATCATCATCTTCACAATGTGTCATCAAATTTACTAGAAGGAATTTGTACAGAATTGTACAATCGTGTGCAATTGTTTGATTACACCACAGTATATCTTTGTGATTTTGATAATAAAATGGAAACTTTTACACATTTAACACATTTAAACTTTAATTTCAGAGTACAATCTGTCTATCAATGGAGCAATATAGCTTTTTGTTTGTTTAATGAGCTCCCCAATAACACATTATAGGCTACATTTAAAAGGCTAAAGCAGAACAGTTTAACACCATTATTACTGAGTGTCAGTATTTCAAGCATATAAGGAAGCATTAAGACCATATGACTGTAGTTATTATCATTTTTCCAAAGGATAACACTAGAAAGGCTGAATCAGTTGAAGAGAACTGTAAGCTGAAGGTGTTATATAGTATAAAATGTGAATTGCAAAACTGACTTTTTCAAGTTGGGCAGTGGCTCAGACCTCCTACAGTTAATTCACAGCTTCACTGAATTAAATGGAACCATTGCTACATCAAATGTTACAGTAAAACGCGATCAGAAGACAGGAGTGGGAGCAGTGGGTGACAGAGTGGTTTCGGTGGGGGCCTCGTTTTTCCTGTAATTAAAACAAAAGAAGACGAGAAATGAGTTGATGAGTGAACAGCAATAAGTCAGAATGCAGAAACAGAAACAGATACAGTGGCTTATTGCTGTGTGGTGATCAGGGATGAAATAACCGTGTGGTTAAATATACAGGATTAATCGGATTCTAGTATAAAGTTCAAATTTTTGATTACCGTTATCACAATAACTGATGGTGAACACAAGAGCGAGCCCTTCCTTTGACACAGCCCTTCCTTCAGACACAACAACATACCAGTCAATACACAGTGACATGGCAGAGGGCAGGGAAAATTATAGTTTAGTGTGTCTTTTCAAATTCCAGAAATGTTCTCCCAGCTCACTGTTCATGTGTCACAGTTTGTAGTTCAGTTTTAAAACATCAACAGTGAGGTGGAGGGAAGTGTGGGTATGTGGCGCCACCACTGGCTACTGTGAGGAATAAGTGTGCCTTTTAAAAATTAAGATAAAAAACTCATCAGAATCTGTTGGAAATGTTTTTTAAAAAAAAAATCTGGCAACCAAAGATAGAAATACCAAAACATCCCCATGACCACCACCATACACCGTACAGTCAGAAAAACCACAGAAAAGAATCACATCTTCACCTTTAAGAGACTCATTTCAACACTAACTTGAATTGTGAATCAAATCAGGATATTGTAATTTGAAATGATTGTTGTTCTATAATATATTCATATCATGAATACAATTGCATCAAAGGTATGAACCAAGGCATGTCATTACTTTTGCAAGTTGGTGAGCAGCTGGTTGATCCACGGCACCGATGGATCGATGCAAACTTTGAAGCCCTTCTTCATGGTGACTCTGTGGAGAAAGAGAGGGATTACATCTTTTTACTTTTTTATAACGTTGGAGAAATTCTCACATTGCACACATATGAGTAAACTTGTCTCAGCGGTGAGTCAGTAGATGTTTTATTTTGACATACCAGCTGATAACTTTTCCATTTTGTGCAATTTTGTACTTTTTACTTTCACTTTTAGTTCATAAGGATGTGCCACCTGGAGCCTGGAGCTGATTAGCTTAGCTTAGTAATCCTTTATCCATAGATAAAAAAAACACCAAAATCATATATAAAATGTCTCAGCTCAAGCAGCTATAAGATTAAATACTGGTTTTACTTCATAATTTTCCCTTAACATTCTGTTATTGCTACTTTTACTCAACTAACACAGAAAAGGGCCACTCTTCAAGTCCTGTTACCTTTGATACTCACTACACTTTGCTTAATAAAGTATTTGTTTTCTTTTTTATTAAATCAATCGTGAGTACTCACATGATTTCAGTCCAGCGGCATTGTCCGGAAATAGGAAGCACCTCAATCTTTATGATAGCCTTAAGAGGGATTTTTTTGGAGCTCGTCTGTATGCATTTACACCTGGGAGAACCTGTGAAAAATTCAAATTTAAAAAGCAGTTTAATTATCATGTCATTCTGCTGTGGTTGCCAAAACCTCTAACTCAGTGTCCAACGGTAGCTTTGCTCTTAGAGCTTTCAACCGCATCTCATAATCAGTCATGAGGTGATGTAAATATGGACCTTAGGTCATTTGACGGCTGGTGGTCTATGCTCCATATCATCAAACTCCACTGACTGATGAAGACCATGAAATGTGGTTGAAAGCTGCAGAAAACGTGTGCCCAGTTTGTTTGTTTTTTTGTTTTTTCCTTCAAATAATTCAAATAATTAAACAATAAAATGAGAAAAGGGTTTGAACACGATGAATATAAATGAGATGAATATTATATATTTTATGTTAAAATGCCTGCTGAGTGCAAGATATCAAAATTAATAAGTAAAAGCATTTCGGCACTTAATTAGTAAAATATCACTGTATGCAGACAACGCCTTATTGGTTCGTTAACTTTGATTGCAAAAATACTACAACCTCAGAGGAAAACATCTTTGAGACTAGACAACTGAAGAAAAAAGAGCAATAGTTGGTTTTTAAAAAAATATAACCATGTCATTGAATGTAAAAGAAAAGTTTCTTACCATGGATAGTCATGATGCAGCAGCAGAGAGTCAGAGCAGCCAGGAGCAGCAGTGGTTTGGGCATCATTTTGGCGGTTGTTTTGATCTTTGAGCACCAAGAGGATGTGAGAATGAAGTGAGAGTGAATAGAGTACAGTCTGGGTTTATAAAGCAGCAAATAAGGAAGTATGTGTAGGAAGAACTCTACACTTTTCTGTCTTGACACAGCAAAATTTAAAAATTGCATTTTTAGGGGGGTTTCTGCTGAGTGAGCTAAATTTGGTTCCATCCTTCTGTGGGTGTATTTTTACCCATCTATCAGCCAGGTTTTCTTTATGACAGCAAATAAAATAATATATGGTTTTACAATTATGTTATATTCACTCACTATTTGGGCTGTTTTTGGATACTAATGCCACATTGACACCATGTGGGATGCAAAGTATGGCAGTTGCAAGTATTCCTGCCACACAGGAGTAATCTGCACACTGACTGAATAATTGTCTAGCGCTGACTAATGATAATATGAAGGACAGTGGTAGTAACTGGAGATAAAAAAGTTAATTAACACATTTTTTTAGCCTTGAATGTGAATGATGGACTTCAGCTCTCAAACGACATTTCTATATTATCATCCACCAGATCTGATCTGAACTTTTAGACAGAACATTAAATTCCTGGTTGCCTGAGGGTCGTCTTGGCCAGTGCTGTCAACAGTCAACTTGACTAGCAATAACATAATCTAATTTAATTTAATTTGATTAATTCTATTTGACAGTGACAATGCATATTAATAACATTTCTGAAAATATGCCAGAGTTAGACAGAGAGGCTAATTTTCATCTGTGGTCCCTTGGAGTTGGATAACAAGCAGGAATGAGATGACCGACCTCTTGCATCACCTCACCTGTCTGCCCTATCTTTTTCCTTGGGTAATGATTATCAGTAATAATAATTATCCATTGTTAATGAGTGGTCATTGAACTGAATATTTTGTGTGAAGGATTTGGAGTTGTTTAAATGCACTTCTGATGACAGCTTGGTAATGAAAATGGAGTAATAAGTGATGTAAGGCATTAGTTTTGCCGTACAGTACTTAATAGAATAATGCCATTACAATTAAGTTTTAAACTGATTACAGTTTTCATGTAACTTACCCCAGCACTACTGTCTGACATTCAGGGAAGTCCCTGACAATCCCAGACAACTGGTCGGAGGGGTTCACTGCTGTCCCCGGCCTGACCTTGTATGTGACATCCAGATATTTTTAAACCTCCAGTTTCACAATCAAAATGTAAATCACAGTAAGAAAAGGTTAATTCAAACACCATTTTAGCTTGAGCTGCACCAAAGCACAGCACCCAAGCGTCAACTAAATAGAATAAAAGGATTTTATACCAGTGTCAACATTAAAAAAAACATTCTACTAACAGCAGAGGACACCAAATAAACAGACCAGAATGCAGTGACATCTGCAGGTGGTTTAAACTACTAAAAGAAATGTTTTTTTCTGAGTCTGATTGTCTTAGAATATTCCAGCAAATATATGATTTTATATGATTTCACATGATTCAAAATCTCTGATTACCTGAACCGCCACTCACTGCATTTTCACCTCAAGCTGTTCGATTACAAGTTATGTCAATATATCAACTGGAGTGGGTAAATCTAGAGCGGACTCAGGGAACTTCGGCACAGGACAGATACAGTTGACATAGTTGCATTAGTCTGGGTTCAATCTGTCCAGAATCAGGAACAGAAAATACTGGAGAGTACCAAGAATCAAACTTGAGCAGAACTGCACTTCTGTATTTGCCTTGGAGGTCACTGGCTGATAACCACATCCTTTCTGGTAAATGATTGATTGAGGGGACTGTTATCACCCCCAAAATTAGACTTTAGTTCCCGTTTATGAAAATGAGATGTATATTCCAAGATTAAATTTAGATGAGCTCCGTCGTGTACGGTAAATACTAAACTCTGCTGGGAGAGACCCCCTGAACAGTCACAAGATGGTGGGTGAAGAGAAGGAACCAAAAGTTTAAGATTGAATTATATAAGTTTTTACTAAATAATTATATTTCCAGTTGATCAGTCGTACAAATGGGTGCTGTGGGAGGCCGTGATCTAAATGTGGGACCTACCTGGGATATTTTAAGTAATTGTGAAGGATATTTGTTTCACGTATAATAATAATAATAAAAGCATTTGACGCGTTATTCCTTATGTGACTCCAGTTGTCCCTGACCACCTCCAAATGTGGCTCAAACAGGCAGGTTGGTGACAGGGGAAATGTATGATAAACCATTCACTCTAAACGGTCTTTTGTGTGCACAGCGTACATCTTTTGTGTCCTGCTTAAGAAAGAATCCCTTTCATCCATACATCACACCCATACACTGACGGAACAGCCAGTCGGGGATCGAACCACCAACCTACTGGTCAGTGAACGACCCACTTGACCTCCTGGACCACAGCTGCCCTAATTGTTCTTGTCTTCTGGAATCTTTCTTTTCTTTAAATTATGCAGTAAGGCAGCCCCCCCCCCTGACTATTTCAATGTGGACCATGTGGGGTTTCATTAATTCTTTCTTATTTTCAACAGCACACCATTGTGTTGTCTTGGAAAGTGTTTGGTGAAAGTGTATTGCTGCTCCTTTGAACTGATCATCTGTCAGCACTGTCAAGTTCAAATATACCAACCATTCTGGCCTCCTCCCATTCCCTGCTGCGGTTTATCAAAACGATTGTTCTGTTTTCACCAGAAAATCATGGCACACCACCCAGTATTGCATAAAAACAAAACAAGCTCAGCATATATATGACAACCTTGGCTGAACGTTTTTGATCTTTGGCACACTTTAATCAAATTCAGCATTTTTCATTTCCCATTTTTCTTGTAAAATTAATTCAACGATTCAAAATCAGGGTTGAGGACACATTTAATTTTCTATCTTTCTGATACAAGACAAATCAACTTTTGTGATTTTACATCGATATTACATTGGTTCTGATCGGTTAAACTGAGGACAAATGTTCTGCCACATGAAGAAGACTGATTTGGCAAAAAGTGGATTTTCCATCATATCCAAACATGAGGACAACATAGATCACAAACACAAACACCCAGTGTGTTTGATTTTAAAATATTATTTTATATTTTGTGCAATCAGCTGACTAAGGACTGAAACAGAACAATGCGTCACACAGCAACATTTTAATACGCAATCGAAAATGAAAAGAGGTCAAAATCCAGAGGCCACAGTGATCTGACAGTTGCTGAAAAGAAAAGAAAAAAAGCAAGAAAAACAGGGGGAAATGATTCAATCAGTTCGTGAGTCACACACATATGCATATAGAATTCCACAGTAACACCATCTCTGCAATAAACAGGAAACGCTAGGTCAAAACAAATCACTGACTGAAAAGATTTGACACAGTTGATCCAGGAACTGACTAGTCGACTAATTATATTTTTTTACAGCGTGAAAAAGATTTCCTTTTTTAACAAAAATGTAAAAATAGTTGGTTTTTTTTAAATCATCGTATTCATTTTAGGCAACCGGTCACGTTGCAGTGTAAATCCATGTTCTGTTCAGACTCATAATATATATCGTATATAGTGAAGACTTTGAAGGAATTTCCTAAAAAGTATTACGTTTATTTTGGCCATAATTAGAGTATGAATTCTTGAAAAAAAAAACAAAAAAAAAACATGTTTCGTGGGGTCAGTGACCTTTAACCTTTGACCACCAAATTCTAATCAGTTCGTCCTCGCATGGGATATATTTTAGCTAATCTCACATCAGAACAGTGAAGTCTCACATGCAGAGATTCAGCGGTCACTTCCCTAGTCACTTTCCCAAGCTTTTCAGATTTTATTCCTTGTCAGTGGATCAATGTTTTGGATTCTGAATACGTAGATTATCTCATGACATCGGCACATGTCACAGTCTGGGATATTAGATGCTGAGTGAACAGTCGGTTCTTGTTTGGGCAGTTATGAGGCTTCAAGACTGTGTCGGAGAATCTCTGAAACAACAAGGTTTGAGAAGAGTTGCCACTCAGTAATAGTGTATGACAGGAATCCTTAACTGGAGGTTTAGGGTAAGAAGAGAGCTGCTTCCGCCCAAAACTATGAGCCCCTGCACTGACTTCCCTTTCACCTTAAGCCAAATCTTCTAAAAAAGAAACATTAGCACCACTCAAAGACTCCATTTCACTTCTCCTCAATTTCAAGATGAAACAAAACTTAGAGGAGAACCTGAAGGAGACTGTGCGCTGTGTTGCTGCAGAAGTAAAAGTAGAGCAAGAGTAAAGATCAAGCAGAAAATAAGAAAGGTCATGAAAGGTCGTCACAGAATAAACCAACTCAGCCTTCTTATCATAAGGATGTTCAGGGTACTATACCGGCATGTGCAACAAGTGAAACCAATCTGTGCCCCAACAAAGGAAACATTTGCAAGCATTTCAATTTCCCGATTTCCAATATCAGAAAGGTCAGCCCACCCACAGAGATGAGTGCACTGTAAATCAGACTGCTTAGTTCAGCAAGTATTGAAGCCTGCTCAGTGTTTCAATGAAGTACAGTGCTGCTGGGGGGGAAGACAAAACAAAAAACAAAATTAAATGCTACTTAGCCTCTCCCCACACACATGGAGCAGAGGAGAGACAGGTCAACAATATGTTAAATTAAGGGCAATAAAAGCTTTCCCTTAAGTGCCATGAATTCCTCTAAAACCAAGATAAACAGACACCAACCACAAACATCTGAAAGTCAGGCCAAAATATCAACAATTTGGCAACAGTGGGGAAGATGATAGCAGTTTCTGATGGCAGGGAAGTTCCATGTTTAACAGTCGAGTCTCACAATTATCTTGTTTCCACTGATAAACAGATAAATCTCCTCGTTTGCAGCTTCCTTAGAGGAAACTTTCAACCACACACTGTGGTGCTAACACATCTGTATTTCACTGTGACTGCCAGTTACAGGTTCTTACTGGTATTATCATGTAGGATTCTTAACTCACATACAGGAAAGCTGTGATATTTTATTGCAACCTACAGTAGATCAGAGCTGGCAAGACTCAGCCGATAAACCAAGGTGTCAACCACAAGCG